TCAGAAGGTTGCATGCAAAAAAAAACTGTCTTGCAGCGCACTAATGCTGCACTGAATACTGATCTGGAAAGGAAGATAGCAGACCAAAGATCTGGGCAGAAACATACAGCAGGCTTGCATCTTCAGGAATTTGCAGCACAAAAGGCATTGAGCATAAACAAATTAGTGTTGACTTTCTTATGCAGAATTAGGAGATGGATCAATTTTAACGTCTGTTATTATTATTAATCATCACTTTGCTTATCGTAGGTGGTGGGCTCCTCACTGTATTTGGACAAATAAATAATCCTTATTATCTGGCTGTTAGCCAACAAGAAATTGTTTACAATGGAAAAAGAGATTCTAGCATGTCTGCTATAATTACTCATTTGTTGGTCCTCTAATAATAATTCATATATGTTTGATTATTCATTAAATGGATGTTCAATATAGGTATAGGTTATCTCTTAAAAGATAATTAGATTTTATTAATGAGTTTTAATAACGACTATTAAACAATCCAGGCTTAATGCATTTCCCAGTTAGGAATCCTTAAAATATTACTGTCAGAGCTTGGCCTCCCTCTTGACTAATTGTAGGCTGCAGAGGTGTCAGACTGTAATTGTGTGTTGAGTCCTGGGGTTTTCAACAGTCACTTTCGTTCTATTTAAGTGAGCAATGTATGAAATAGAGTACTCTATTATGGTATTTATTGATGTATCTTTGTATATTTACTATATTTTATACTGTATATTTTCTATAGATTATAACCCTGTTCTTAAATGCAAAAAAATATTTTTTGATCCCGGATATAGCCAGGATTTCATCTTCAAAATTATACTGTAGGTTCTTCCAGAATTCCACTGCCTTCAAAGAAATGCCTCCTCAGAATCATTGTGTACACACTCTTACAGGCTCTGACTTTTTCAATATCTCTGAGGGTTTTGAATACTAGATTTGTCTTTTTTTGTAAAGTGATGTGCAAACCTTTACACGGTATTCTAGGCAAGATTTTATTAACATATGCACATTTATAATATTGGTTTAAATTCTATGTTTTTTCCTGCCTTGAAAAGGAAAATGATGCATCAACATAACATTGGGTGTTCCTATCTTACATTTACTGTATGCATTGCATTTTTGCTACCTGTGTATAATACTCTGCACTTAAACTACAATACTACACTAAATGTCTTCTTTGCCTGATTTTGGCAGAATCCAGAGATCTGCCAATTCCAGAATTTTGGCTACATGTTTTTTTTTTTATTTCCTTTGCTGCTTCTGTAGTGTTTGCAACACTTTGACTAGAGTCAAGACAACAATCCATTCCCATAATAATAAGAGGCTCTTAGACATGTCAGGACTTTTCAACTTGCCTGAAAACCACTAGTCTTTTGCGATCAATTAGTAAATGAAATGCGGATACCTTAGAACACTGATTTAATTTTTCTTATTCCCCAGAGAACAGATAAATTAAAATGCTATTAGTTTAACATTTCTGGGGCAAACAAATCATATTTTGGGGATAACTGCATTACTAATAACTTCGACATTCTGTATTCTTTCTTAACTCTTTAATAAACTGATTTTGGCACCACTAATGCAGGTGTCACTTTCGACACAACCTTGATTTAATATTCATTTTTAGGATCTAGCCTTATTTCATAATAGTGAACCATCCTCTGTGTGGTGTATCTGTGGGGAGCTTCATTAAAGATACTGTACATCTTTATGAAATCTTTACCAACAATACTGGAACTCTTAATTGCTGACAGGGAGCATTCATAGTCTGTGCTTTTCTCATCACGCTCTGGGGGGTGATTACCAGGGAGAGTTTTTCTGAGCCTGTGGGGTGATCCTGTAAAGGAAAAGGGCAGTATTGTAATGGAATATTACAATAATTGGGGGAAACCCATTTTCCATAAATAGAAAATGTAATTTTATGGAGGGTAAACAAGGCCATGCTTCATTGCAAGCATCTATTGTATGGTAGCACACAAGAGAAGGAAAAATAACACTACTGTAGGATTAATAAGTGTAGTACTATATTTTAGCACTTGCTGAATTTGTTTTTCTTACTACTGAAAATGTTTGTAAGCTATTTTAACAACTCAAAGCAGACACCTTTTTTCTTCGATGTATTAAAATATCAGCACCTTTTCATAAATGTATATCTGCACTGATCATCATATTTCAGAAGCTAAGCAAGGCTGGGACTGGTCAGTACTGTATTAGGAGAGCTCTAAGGACAACCAGGATGTGGCCCTGAATAGAATGATCTTCCCACTGGATCGGAAATTTTGAAACCAGTGCCGCCCAAGCAAAGGGACTGGGGACACTGCATATCCTTCAGAAAAGATGACAAACCGAGGCCCTTAATGTTCAGTTGTAAAGATAGTTATGGATTCAGGATATTATGGATATATTGGTACAGGTGTTGGAGTGCGGACTAGATTCTTATCTGAGCTTTCACAGCTTGGTCTCCCCCTGCTCTGCGTTTCAGTGGGGCTGCTGCTGCAGAATTGCTATAGGTGTAAGCTAGATGGGTGCTGCACTTCAGTGTGGATTAAGTGGATTCTCTCCTATAAAGGGAAAAGTATACTGTCTGGTTATTGATTCACTATCGTATGTACAGTACTGTAAAACTGATAAGTCTTTAAATTTTAAAACCTTTTAATGATAGGTCCTAATCGTATTGCAGGTACAACCTAATTTCCTGAGTGTATCTTCACTTGCTTCTCCTCTGAGTTGTAGCTACCGTATATTATTTTAAGTAAGTAGTCATGTAATTACAGAAGTGCAGTTTCATGAATTATAGATTATCCCTATTTCTTAGTGCCATTTAAGTGCATTTAAACTGAAATTGCAGAGCAATGTTCCACAGCACATGTAGTTTCTGTAAAGAAATCCTTAAGAACCAAAGCATTCAACACCACCGCACGTACTGTATTTGGTAATATTTTTATACTGCAGTATTTAATTTTAATCTTCCATTTGTCTAGAATATTCATATAATAGACTATTTTCCCTCCTGTATTAGACTGAGAGTAGATTTCAGAAATCGATTGGCTGCTTGTCTACTAGCACTGATATACAGTACTCATGGGGAGCCATATGCTCAAGGTTGCTTAATTGCAGCTATTTTCTGGAACAGATCCATTTCTGCTACAAAAAAAAAAACTGGTCTCTTATGGAAGGGGAAGATCGCTACTATTCAGGGAGAGCCTGAATGGGAGTATAAATTGTAATGAACCGCTACGAGTGGTGGCACTGTGTCTGGAAGGTTGCCAGTTCAAATCCCGCGGCCGGCAGAGGAATCCTACTCCATTGGGCCCCTGAGCAAAGGCCCTTAACCCCAGCTGCTCCAGGGGTGCCATATAAATGGCTGACCCTGCGATCTGACCCCAATCTTCTCTCTCTCCATCTGTGTGCTTGTGTGTCTCATGGAGAAGCAAGCTGAGGTATGTGAAAAGACAAATTCCTAATGCAAGAAATTGTATATGGCTAATAAAGTGATCTTATCTTATCTAAAGTTGGAATTGCAGTAGCAGTCTGTGGGTTGGAAGTCAAGTCCTAGAGACGAAATAGCTTAGCTGGCGAGCAGCACGCAGGCGTTCGTAAACAGCAGAGCACTCCAGGAGTCGGGGGAATAACATGATCACTCACAGGTGAAGTAAGCTTCCTGTCTAGTTGTGTTCTCGTGGCAACCAGCCCGATTGACAGGTGGAAGAGGCGTGACCAGCTGCCGCAGTAGAACATGTCTACTCCATAGCACCCTTGAGAGGATGAGTGTGACATAAACCATTGTTTTTTTTTTCTCTTTTTGATTAAAAATCCGTCCTCCTGATGAGACGTAAAACTGAGGTCCTGACTCTCTGTGGTCATTAAAAATCCCAGGGCATTTTTTTAAAAGAGTTGGGGTGCTACTTTACCAGTCATGGCCTCCTAATAATCCCCATCTATGAACTGGCTTCATCACCCTGTTCTCCTGCTCACTGAGAGCTGGTGTGTGGGGAGCATATTCTGCATTATGGCTGCCGTTGCATCATCCAGGTGGGGCTGCACATTGGTGGTGCTGGAAGAAAGTCCCCATTATCTGCAAAGAGCTTTAAATGGAGTGTCCTGAAAAGCGTTATACAAGTGTGAGGAATTGTTATTAAAATACATTTTCTTTTACCTAGAAAAATGAATGGCATAATTTCTCATATCTGTGATAGAATTATTTACATATTATTACATTTTTTCAAAGGAGGTATAATTTCAGTAAAACACTCACAAGGTTGAAAAACAAATGTGCCTTTTGTGTTGACATTAGTTTTGAGAGCTGTCATGAAATGGAAGAAAGCCAGCAGTGGGACAGCTCTGCTTCTCTAGTCTTACACAATAAACTTATTCTTAAAAAACAATAAAATGGGGTTATGGTTTGGTATATCTCAAATGTGTAGGCTAATAATCTGCTTTAATTTATTTTATTAACTGTTGTTTACTGGAATCAACTCCAATTTACACCTGCCGGGGAAATAAATTTAATGGGCTGTTGCAATGAGATTCAATATATTGGGCACAGTCCTGGAGCACATTAAAACGAATTAAATGAAGTTTACAGTTCATTCCTAAATCGTGTTTACTACTTTCCTAAAGTTATACTAAGTGAAAGTACAGAAGCCTTGAACGGAGTAAATGTACAATGATTTTTACAGAAATGAAAATGTCAAGCAAATAATGTAAAAGGCGTTGTTGTTTTAATAAATTAAGAAACTTGGGTAATGGAAAACAACCCTTGCAGAATTCTCTCGTGGCTTTCCTTTATTTATTCAGTGCTGGATGTGAAGTGTAAAATGTAATGGTTTTTAAAAATCTGCTCCAAGCAGCTTTACAGTCAGTTTTATTTCAAGTGTAGTTCAGTTTAATTTAGGAGAACTGCTTAAGAGATGTTGCTGATCTCGTGCCTTGTGAGCGAAGCAGCCTCTGCCTCCTCCTTGGGCCTTTATGCTCATTAAGTGGTCTTTTTCTCATTACAGCTCCCCCTACTGTTCGCATTATGCACTCTGGCCAGGCATGCAACATTGAGGAGGAGCGATACACAGAGAGGGTGTACACAATCCGAGAAGGGGAGACCCTGGAATTAACATGTTTGGTGACTGGCCATCCAAGACCACAGGTGAGTTAACCAATGATTGGCTACAGTTAGCTGCGGGTTACCAAGACGTGTTCAAATTTGGACTTGCCTAGGTTGTCCATCCGAGGCGTTGTGAGGACATTTCTCACCAGCTCTGTCTCAGTGCATGTACTCCATATCTTGAAAGTGAGCATCATAAGTGTTATTTTATTTCTGCAAATTGTCCACGCATCATTAAGGAACTAGGTGAGGCATAAGTCTGGAACAGGGTTTCATTAAAGGGACTTAAATTGAGGAGCCCCTATCTAAGTTGAGTTAAAAACTGTACTGTAAGAACATTAGAAAAGAGAAGAGGCCAGTGTGCCACCTTCTTTAGATTGTTTGGTTTGTAGGCGATTGTAAGACCCATATTTATTTACACGTGTATCATTTTTCAGATCATTTGTCTAAGGTGATTATCTACCATAGGGAACCCCTTACTGTCTCCTTAACAACATTCTTTGTAATCAGTTTTTCTCTCAGTGTTTACTTGACCCAGTTCAAAATTCTAAACTTCCACAAAATTCTTATTCCGGCCCCTTCGGTTTTCAACAATGAACTGCTCTGTTCTTTTAGATTAAATGAGCACAAACAACGTTGCTAATTTTTTGAATGTTTCACCTGTTGCTGACAGAAAACTGCCCAAGTTGTGTTTTGCTTTGACAGTGTTCTGCCAAACACACATACTGTAGTTTGACTGAAAACAAAGGGTGACAGGGGTGATGTGACCAGTAACAGAGTGGGTTGTTTTTCTCTCCTGCTGGTGTTAAATAATGGTATATCAGATACATATGTCAGAAGCTTAAAAATGATATGGTTTACTTAAGGAGATTACGAGAAGCTCATGGACAGATCAATAAACAATTTTGAGCTTCCAGTTACATATCACTTTGAATGAGGTACAGAAGGACTGATAAAATGGCTTAATGTTTTGAGTTGATGAAAATGGGCTCAGAAATGGTTCAATACAGAATGTTATAAACAAGATTGTATTTCTTTTTTAACTGCAATCTATCAAGGTATCCTTCTGTCACCTGCTTATTAATACACACTGTGGTGGTGCATGCAGTGGTATTCAGTTAATCAGCGTGCTAGAAGTAATTCTTTTCTTCCATTCTTACATTTTATGGCGAAAAGGAATTAAAAATATAATTGCTCACTGGTGCATGCTTAACAAACATTTTTTACTATTCATTTAAAACCCCTGTCATGTTACTTTCTAGCAAATTCATAATTAAACATTTTGGCTTTGATGAGAAAATACAGATAGAAAAGAATGAAAACCACTTACAGTAGATGCCAAGTGCAGGGGAATGCTGATACATATGACATTTTTTACCTTAGACATGCATCCTGCCCAGAAATTGTCAAAATTTACTAAGCTTGTTAACAATCAGAGTGAGCTCAATGCATTAAAGTGATGATCCCAGCAAAGCTTAAAAAAAATCACTATAACCTGCTAATAATATCCTGGGATTTGAGTAGGTCATTGTATTCTTTAATATTTTCGACACTTTTGGCCACTCTGCAGTTCATTAATATGCACACCGCTGCCTTGGATAATAATGTATAACCTGTAATGACTTCTCTATCTCAATCAGATTAAAGATGAGCATTTTTAATAATGTAAGGTTTTTTGATCTATTTGTTTTAATTTAAAGTATTCCAAATACGTTGTTGGAATTTTTGGCAACAACATTGCTCACTAACCACTCCGTGCAATCTGCAAAAAGCAGACGTTTGTGGGTGTTGTCTGTGTGCTGTGCTTTTCACTGCTTTATTAAACTGACTAGTTATTTATCAGTTAAACTAACAGCTGTTGATGGGCAGGCTGGTGGCGTGTTGGTCAGCAACGTTAGCTCTCTTCTCCAGGGCTGTGGAATTGATTGCAGCCTGTCTGGGTGGGTGCAGATCTGCGTGGGGTTTGCGTGTTCTTCCTGTGTATGTGAAGATGTGCTCCAGGTGCTCCAGTTTCCTCCCACAGTCCAAAGACATGCTTGTAGGTTAATTGGCTTCTGGGAAAACTGGACCTGGTGTAAGTGCGTGTTTTTGTCTGTCTGTGCCCTGTGATGGGCTGGAGTCCCATCCAGGATGTACTGTATCCTGATTTCTGCCCAATGCTTGGCAGTATAGTCTCTGGCTCCCTCACAACCCTGTATTGGGTATAGTTCTTAGAAATGGATGGATATATAATGACACAAGATGACTAAAGTTGTAATGGACAAACACAGAGGCCTAACATTACTACCTGTAGATATATCCTCCAGTAAAAACAGGGGAAATGTCTTTTTGCACACCAGTTGAATAGTTTATATACTCTAGATACCAAATGTGATTACAGTGATTCAGCCAAACCCTCATTAAGGTGGGGAAAGGATTCAAAGTGATTCAAATAGTGAGCTTTACTGGAGTAATCTGCTTGGTTGTGGAGAATGACGGGACATCAGAAGCCCACTTTTTTCAGCAGGATGGTCTAGGGAGCTGCTGCGAGGGTAGGGATGGGATGGTGGGAGAGGAGTGAAAACAAAACATGCAGGCGGGTCAGCAAGAAGCATTCTATTTATACACAGGGAGGTGGAAATGGGTGAGGTAAGGGTTTGACCTTCTCCTGATCTTATGTTTAAAAATCCATTTACATTTTTGCAATTACAATTTTGCAACACACAATACAATACAAATGTGAATTTTTCAAGTGTATTCAAAAGTACAAGCCTTAAATGCACAATGCATTTTTTCCTTTTCTCTCTATTATTCATAGAAAATCAGCATCCTGTTGAGGAGAACTGTTTCAATATTCAACTGCACTTTTAATTCAGACTGTATTATTGTCGCCAGTTGTGCAGTTAACAATATTTCTATAGTTCCATAGTATAAATTGAGCCTAGAGGCTTATCTGTTAGGAGCTTACCCTGAAGTCTTTAAGAACGTAAGAAAGGTTACAAATGAGAATAGAGCTTTTGGCACGTACAGCTTGTTTGGGTGCTAGGAGAAGAGAATCTCATCAGGCTGTTTTTTGAAAAACGACAGGATATCAGCTTTAACAACAGGGCTGGGTACCTTGTTTCAGACAAGACCTTGTTTTCTCACAGCCCTTTGTGTTCAAAATGTAGCTTCTGCTCTCAGTTTTAAATGCACAACACTGTAGTATCTACAGTATTTGAATTCACCATTGCATGAAGTGAACTAAAGGTCAGAAAAGCTTTCCTGGCAATGTATTTGTGACTGAAAATATTTAAAAAGAACGTAATTTCATAGATTCACCCCTAAGTCATATACTGAATTATACAGTGGCAAAATGCCACAGAAAAAATATTTATCACCTTTCGTGTGCTTTTGGCTGTCTGTTTCTACAGTATTAACTCTTCAGAGCTCAGTAATGTATCCCAATGCTTACCTAAAGGTTTGTTTCCTAAAAAAATGTTTCTTTTACAAATGCAGCAAAATGTTTCTATCTAGCAGGATAGTGGATACTGGTTCACTTGATGTGTTTCCATGACACAGTCTTACCTTTGGGACTAGACTGTTCAGAAAAAAAAATCTGCTCAGCATGTGCTGAAAGATACTTACAGTCATACAGTTACACCAGTGATATTAATGGGTTGATTCAATGTTAAATTGTACAATAGTATTGATGATTTTGCCCATATTTTATGTATCTTTAAGCTGCTGGAAATGAGTAGATTTTAAGCTTTCTTATAAAGACCCCCAAGAGAGAGAAAGTGGAGATCTGTAGCGGATGCTCATTTTGGAATGAAACTAAGCCTCACATGAATTGTTTCATTTATGCCCTATTATTGCATTTTTGTGACATTCACTAGTAATATTTCATAGGGTGCTCACTGCAAAAGTTTGCTGTGAAGGACTAATTGATAAACACTTTAAGGTACTGTGCATCTTTACTGTTTTCTGTACAGGGTTTCAGGTAGACCTGGTGAAAGTGTCTTGCACACAGCTTTTCAGCAAAGCTTTTGTACAGTAGGTGTTCAGCAATAATATTAAAATCTTTTAAATATTATTTGACATCCCTGATGGGCTGGAACTCAGATACGGTAGGTGGTCAATCGTGATCCTGTAAATCTTGTTTCTGCAGATCTAGGTCTCTTTATTGCATCAGCACCTGAAACCTAATAGTGCTACAAAATGGTTCTGCATTTTAAGCGAATATGACTAATTCGGAGCGTTAAGATCTGAGTTTGAATTAAAACCTTAGAGACACACCAGCTCTCCAGGACTAGGACTGACGACCCCTGATCTAGGCTCACATTTACATGCTTAGTACTCTCAAAATAATACAATGCTGCTGCTTTTAATAGAGATTTACAATCAGGCGCATGATTACCCATATAATCATGTGAATTGTCAGATTATCCCGCTGTTACTCAGTGCCTGTGTGGTTATTGCATTGTGAGTGAGGGACATTTCTGACACTCTGAGTGCCTTCAGTTCACTCAGACAGGTAAGAAAGGTTGTCATGGAAAAATGATGATTTGCAATTCAGATGAAGATGAAAAATCTGATTTAATCAAATTAAAAATAACCTAGTATTTATAAATTATTTTAAAAAGTGATCTGATTTCTGTTTATTTTAGTGATTTTACTGTGTATACTGTGTTTTTTTGACAGAATGATACATCGCTCATCTAATTGGACTTCACTGTAGCTCCTCTGCAATAGAAGAGACCTCGTTCAAATAAAAAAAGAGAGGCCTTCTCCGCCCCCCTTCCCCAGCTTTTTAAGAGCTCAGAGCTAATTAATCCCATGATATGTTCATGTGGGAAATTCTGTTCATCACCCCCAAGTGACTTTGTGCCCAAGCAAGTACGTATTCTGAGCACAGGAGTTACTCCTTATCTGTAAGGAACAAGGCATTCGGTTACTTTGAAGTCTCTGTACTGCAGCAGTAAAATGGCTTCTTGTCATATGAGTCTTCTCCAAGTTGGCCCAATGCTGTGTTTGTCAAGGATACATTTTCTGAGTACATCGTGCCTTGCTTCCAACTACAG